TTACTCATTGTTATAAATCCTGGCTTATCAAGTATACTAAAATTATCCTGCATTTTCTAACTGATCTATGGCTTGTGATCCTGTGTCAGTCCAATTCTTACAGTAAGGGAAAGGTATTACATTTTGTAAACTTTCTAGACTAAATTGTCTCAGCAATGTTTATTTATTTCATGTGATAAAACAGATCCCACATTGTTAAAAAAAATACAAAAAAAAACCGGAATTGGTTTTCAAGTGTACACTTGACGCTTCATACATGTAGGTGTGATGGCCAGCGTTCCAGGTGTGAATTTTAGGTATAACAATGTTCACCAGGAACATTTACTTTACCAATATTTATAGGTTTATCATTTAAAGCATATGGATTCATCCTCAATATCAGAACACAAGACCTCCTTTAGTCCCTTAATAAACTCTCTACTGTCCAACACCAAATGTCAATATCCAATATCAAAGTGGCCAATATCAAATCTTGGTTGGGAGAACTAATGTTTATAAAACACTGTTGAATGAAATGCAGTCCATCTGTATTAGTGTCCTAAGACTGCCGTAATAAAGTACCACAAACTGGGTGCCTTAAAACAACAGAAATGTATGCTCTCATAGTCTGGAAGCCAGAGTCTGAATCAAGGTTTTGGCAGAACCAACCTCCCTCTGACACATCCACGGAAGGGTCCTTCCTTGCCTCTTCCAGCTTCTTGGAGCCCCAGGTGTCCCTTAGCTTGAGGCAGCACAATTCCAGTCTTTCCCTTCATCTTCCCTCTATGATTCTGTCTTCACATAGCACCTTCCTCTCTATGTCTCACTTCTTCTTACAGGAATACCTTTTACTCCAGTACAACCGCATCCTAACTAATTATACTCATAATGATTCTATTTCCAAATAAGCTTACATTCTAAGGTACTGGGGATTAGGACTTCAACATATCTTTTTGGAGGATACATTTCAACCCAGTTACATTATTTATTCCTCCAAAGAGAAGATTTTATCTTCCAAATAGGCTTGGATCCCACTATATTTCAACCACAGGAATTTGTCTTCTCTGGACTACATGTAGATGCCAGGTTTCCACCTTTCATTAAACAATACTATAAGAAATAGCTTAATGAATGCCACTATTGTATTTACTAATCAAATTCATTAACAACCCTGCCCCCTTTTATTTTTTTTCAGAACCAAACATTACAAAAATTTTCCCCCTGAATAACTCAAACACTTTCATTTAGAGTCAATGAAAACCATATATTGAAGTACGTGTTTTTTTTTCTTTTTTCTTTTTTCAATTATGTGTTTTTTCTTGCTTTGGTTGCCAGGAAGCTTAAAAATTCAGCCATAATTTAATTTTAACAACTTTGTAGGATGCTGCAGCTTCATACCTTCATTTTTATTTCGACCTGTGGTATTGATATTTTATTTTCATTTGAATATTGAGTAGTTTTTAAAATTGCTTCTTATATTATTATGAGTCACTTGAATACTTTGTTTAAAAATATTAGTAATAAGTAAGGGGGAAAAAAAAGAAATAAGTAAATCTCTCTCTCTCTCCTTCTCCCCCTCCCCCCCTTTCTTTCTCCCTGTCTCTTCTATTTACAGCAGATTTTCCTCCTGTCCCAGCTTATCCATCACTCAATGACTGATCAAAGACTATGAACCATCAACATTCAGTACCCTGGTTTACATTTTAGGTGGATGATTCAAACAGTACACAGGTAAACAGGGAAGGGGAGGCAAGATACTCACTTTATTCTTGAGCAAATCAACGAGATCTCACTGACTTCCTTCAAAGATTAAGAAAAAAAATAGCACAGGACCCATGCAACAGTAAAAATAAAAGAAATCTGGAAAAGCAGAGGAAATAAGTAGAAAAAATTAAATCCCTGAAAATCACACTGAAAGCATCAAGGAGTAGAATTTAAACTGAAGAAAATTGGGACATGGAGGGCAAGCTATTGAAAAAAAAAATCACGTAGAATTTAGTGGAAAATGACACAGAATGAAAGTGACGAGGGGGAAGATGAAAGAGGCAGAAAACAAGTAAGAGAAAACTGACAAGAATGACTGCAATCTTTGAAGCTGTGAATGAATACATGGAATCAAAAAAATTTACATAATAGAAGAATTTTCTGAAATAAAAAAGATCTTAAAATTACATTTTGAAAGGGCTCACCACATTCCAAGAAAATTTAATAAAAGCTTTTTTCTGGAAACCTCAAGGACCGTAAAAAAAAAAAAAATCCTATGGTCACCTAGGCTGAAGGAAAAATGTCATCCTCAAAAATGAAGAAAACAGACAATATTAGATACCAGAAGAAAATGGAAGAGTGGTTAATGAATATTAAAGGAAAAAAATTTTCTATACCTGGTCTAACCTTTCATATGTAATGGTAAGAAAAAGAAAATCTCAAATACATAAGAGCTCAAGAAACATAACATTTATGAACTTCTGAAGAATTTATCAGAGGAAAAAAAATCAAGACAATGGACAGATGAGTAACAATAATGAATTCACAAATGAGAAAGTCATGAGGTAGAAAAGGTTTGGTGTTGAGCTTTGAATCTCTTTGTACATAAAATTATATTTAAGTAACTAGAATCCTAAGTCATAAAATGAAATATAATTGCTATAATGCTTAAAAGAAAAATTACATAATATAAAGAATAATATTTTGATGATAATAGGGACAAGAATCATATTTGCTCTGAAAACTAACATAAAGGGGGAGGGCAGGGAGAAGAAAATAGTCTAAGTAGATTAAGTTCATCATCTTTCACCATCATTTCATTTTAAGGTGAACTGAGAAATATAAATATAAACATATTATTTAATACACTTTACAACTTCCAAATTGCTACAGTGTGGTCGGTGACCTTCTAAAGTGGCTCCCAATGCTCCCCAACTCCTGGTATCATGCCTTTATGTGTAGGCTAGACATAATGACTTGTCTCTAACAAAGAGAATGTGGCAAACTGATGGATTTCACTTCTGAAGTTGAGCTTTGAAAGACTGTGATTTCTGTCTTGCTTACACCCTTTCTCCACCTCTTCTCCCACACTTTCTTTGATTAAGCCAGCTGCCATGTTGTGAGTTGCCCTATGGAGAGGCCCACGTGACAGGAAACTGAGGCTCTCTAGGGCCCATGAGGAACTAAATCCTGTCAACAACCATGTAGGGAAGCTTGAAAGCGGATCCTCCCCAACTGGAGCCCTCAGATGAGAATGGTGCCCAGTACAACACCTGTGAAAACCAAACAGTACAAAACCCTGAAGCAGAGGACTCAGCTAAGCCATGCCAGGATTCCTGACACACAGAAAGTACAAGGTAAACGAGTGTGCTGCTTTAAGCTGCTAGGGTCGGGGGTAGCTTGTTACATAGCAAGAGATAACTAATACACAGAAGAAGATAAAAACAAAAACAAAACAAAATAAAAACAAAGAAAATAGAACATAAAGCAAAAGAGAAAACAAAGAAACAATAAGCATTCAAAAAATAAACAGACATAACAGATCAAGTTAGAGATATCTAAGTAATATAATTTCAAGTAGGATAGAATAAACCGTTTTTAAAAAATGATTGAATGGGACAAAGAGAGACACTTTATAATGGCAAAGGATATACAACTCACAATGAAGTTATTATTGCTAGTATGAATCTTCATATATCAAAGAATAGAGCATTAAAACACATAAAGGAAAACGTCAAGAAATAAAAAAATAAATAAAAGAAATGTTAGGAGACTTCTCCCAAAATCTCCTTCCCGCAAGTCTCCAAACATCCCCTAATCTGTCTCCATGTTCCAGCCCTCCCCAGCCCCTGAAACTCTTCCACCGAGTCCTCTGGAATTTGTGATTCTTCTCCCACATCAGTTTTCATCGTTACCCCTCTGGTTCAAGCCACTATTACTTCTTTGCCCAGGTTACCGCAATAGCTCCTTGCCTATTCAGCTTCCGCCACTGCTCTCTATGATCTCTTCTAGATAGAGCAGCCAGGATAATCCTTCCAAAATATGCCTGACCATGTCACTCCTCTGCTCTAAACTCTCTGGAAGCTGCCCGTTTCATTCAGCATGTAAGCTGAAGTCCCTACAACACCCTACAAGCCCTACATCGCCTGTCCCAACCCAGTGGTCACCCTCGGTCCTCCTCCCTCTCACCCCGGCTCTCTCCAGTCCAGCCACGCTGACATCCTGGCTGTTTCTTGAAAACTCCAGCCACACACTCACCTTGTGGCCTATGCCTAACTGTTTTCTCTCTCTGGAATGTTCTTCTCTCAGAAATCCACGCGGTAATTCCCTTACCAACTCCAAATCTTTTCTTGAATGTCACCTTCTCAATAAAATTTATCCTGATCACTATATTTAACCTTTCAACCTACACTCTCCTGTCTTCCCAATCTCCTTTATCCTACTTTATTTCTTCAAAACACTTTCTAATATGCCATAGAATTTACTTATTTAGTTTATGTTTATTATTTATTGTCTGTCTCTTCCCACATTCACGTTAGAGTATAAGCTCCATAAGGGCAGTAAACATCTCCTGTTTCATTTATTTATGTAGCTCAAGTATCTAGAAAGGTGCCTAGTACATAGTGGGCACTCAAAAGATATTTGTTAACTGACTGAATACATGATTCTCAGCCTTGTCAGACCTAATGCCTCTTTTCACAACAAATATGGGGCAATCCACTCTTTAACATTGTGAAAGGAAAGTCGTAAACTACCTACACATATAATTTTTTTAAAAAATTCAAAGTGATGCCTTAACTGTAATATAAAGGAAAAAGTAAATGTGTGATTCATTACGGAACTGCTCAGGCATCCCTAAACTACTTTTAGTAGTTTACTAAAACTGCTTACAATGAAGCAATCAGATGCTTGATTCACCTGTAGAATCATCGTGAAATGGACAGCCATAAAATCAACTGTATTGGTGATTTGAATTCCAAACACTGTATTGCCATTATATGTACTGCATTCTAGGAAAAGTCAATACATCTTAAAACTGTGTGAAAAACACTTTATGTTTATATATAAAAGAGATTCTAGGCTCCGATAAATATAAATAGGTTTTTGATCTACACGAATGGACAGTAGAATAGTCGTCACACAGCATGTAGGAAATTCTTTGCTATGGCGTACTAGCCTGGGCACTGCAAGATATCTAGCATCTTTTGGCCCCACCAACTACATTCCAGTAGTTCTCCCCAGTCCCTGGGACAAGGAAAATCACTCTGGTAAATTTCCAAAACAACTCCCGGAGGTAGATCCATCCCAACAGACTGGTTCTGTAAATCCAGTAGCCTGCTTTTCTATTGTCACTGGCTACCTCTCTATAGCATTTGACCTGTTAATGAGCTCCTCTTCACTTCTCCTTCCTTCCTTGACTTCCGAGTCACGGCCCTCCTGCAGCTTTCCCAATTTCACTTCCGCCGTTCCTGCCAGGTGTCATTGACTCTTTACCTCCCCTTGCCCATCTCCGTTGACCTTCCTTAAAAAAAAAAAAAAAAAAAAAGGGATTTATTTATTTGAGAGAAAGAGAGAGCAGGGGGAGGGGCAGAGTGAAAGGGAGAGAGAATCTCAAGCAGACTCCCTGCTGAGCACGGAGTGCCAGGCAGGGCTTATCTCACAACCCTGAGATCATGACCTGAGCCGAAAGCAAGAGTCCGATGCCTAACCGACTAAGCCACCCAGATGCCCCTGCCCTTCCTTTTCCCACTCCACATGATCTTCAACTCCCTCTCCTAAGGAATTGACTCTCAAAGTTCTGTTTCTACACAGGATACCCAAATCCACACTTCCAACTGACACTCTGTCATTCATACACAGAAAGCCTGAAGTTATACATGTCCAAAATCAAACTAGTCATCTTCCTCTAAAACCTATTATTCCATCCGTTGTACCTATCATCCATTTAGGCAATCTAGAAATGACAATCATCTTTGTTCCCTAGTCCTCACTGCCACATCCAGCTGACTGCACTGCTCTCTGTCGATTTTGCCTTGGAAGTGTCTCATACCTGTTTCCTTTCTTTTACTGTAGTTCAAGTTCTCATTACCTGTAACTTAAAATACTGTCACAGCCCCCTAACTGTACTTCTACTCCAATTTATCTTTTGATATTTCCACAAAAGGAGGTAATAACAGTATTTATTAGTATTTATAAATAATATTTATATTTAGTATAGTGGTGATCGAGTACTCATTATATGCCAGCCACTATACTAAATGCTTCCCATCTCTTTTAATCTGCACAACCACATCATAAAGTAGGAATTATTATTATTGAAATTTTCAAGATAGGAAAAAGAGGTTTGGGGAAGTTAAATAACTTACCCAAGGTCATAGAGCTAGCTCCGAAGTGACACCAGGATCCCAGCTCCATCTGGCTTCTAAAATCCCTGTTGTTTTTGCCTTTTTTTTTTTTTGATATAACTTTTTCATATTGCCTCTAGTCTCATCACAACCTTCTATTCAGTCTCTACATTTTTCCCACCTGCCATTTCCTTCCTTATCCATCTACCACTTTTCCATATTGCTTCTAGACTGATGACAATCTTCCATTCTGTCTCTATCCTTCCCAGTCCATTCTTCCAATCCATAGGTTCTTTGGTTCTACTTATCTCCTTACTTTGTAAGGATTTATTCATCAGCTATTTCAAGAGAGGCCTTCACAGCAGGTTCCTCTTCTTTCGCTGCGCCCACATCTGCCCTCCTTCTCCGCATTCTCTTCCCAGCTGCTCAGAGCAGGGTTAGAAAAGGGAATGAATAAAGCGGATACAAAAAACTCCCTGCATCTTAAGTTCTTCTCTGCCTAACTCAGTGTTGTTTTATGGTTCCAACATAATGAACCAAATAAAAGGTGTTCTGTAAACTGTAGAGTGCTCTACAAATGTAAAGTGCTGTTATACATTCACCCTACCTTTGCATGCCCCGGGCTTCAACTGAGTTACTCTGTGAACGTCAGCAAAGGTGTTCCAAGTAGAGAACGCCACGTTCGCCTTCGGAGTTAAGGAAGAGTAAGGTCCCAAATAATATGAATTTGGCTCGGGAAATGTCTACTTTGTCGTTATTGCCCAAACCCAGCTTAAAACTTCATCAGGACGTGAGCAAGACAGGGCGATAATGGTATTGGCCTGAAACCCCCCAATTTAAAACTCTCTCTCGGAATGTTCCCCTCCCCCCAGCTCCCTGGAGGTTTTAAGCTGTTGCAAATGTCTTCCCCGACTTTCACAGGGCCCCCTCCCTGTGCCCTCCCTTCCTGACCTCTCCGCTTCCTGGTGGCCCCAGCCCTCGGACCCCCGCCCCGCCCGCCGGCGGAGGACTACAAGTCCCGGCGTGCCGCGCGCCCGCCCGGCCGGCTGCACCAGGGCTGGGCGCGTGGCGGCCGCCGAGCTCTGCGCGGGGGAAAGCCTCCCGGCGCCGGCCGTGCGGGGAGGTAAGTGATACGCTGGTGCTGCGAGGGCACTGGGAACGCGGCCACCCTCTCCCCTCTCCAGGATGAAAGGAAACGAAGAAAACCACAATAAAAATCGCCCTGCCCTCCCTCGTCTCTGCTGTGTCCGGTGCTCCTGCAGCTTGTTGCACCCACGAGCGTGGAATCTGTCACTCTGGAGTGGAACTGGGGGCAGAAGCGTGCCTGGCTCCGCGGAGAGCTGCGGCCCGCCGGGGCTGCGGGGCAGAGCTCGCAGGATGGGACCGGGTAGTGGCACGGCTCTGCTGAGCGCCCAGCGAGCGCCACACCCCCACACTCCCTTTCCACAGACGGGCTCCCCGGGGAGCCCCCAAACTCAAAGACGAACGGTTTCTTCTTGAAAGTCTTAGAAACTTTCCCCTCTTGTCGCCGGTGCCACCAGCGAGTCGTTTGTCTATCGGACGGCGCCGCTCTTCCAAGAGGCTTCCTGGCGTCCCCTCTCCTGCCCTCAGTCTTGCCCCACCGCTCGCTCTCCAGGCCGCTCCTCCCTCTCCCCCGAGACGCCCTTAGGGACGCGGTGCGCTTGGCCCTGCCCTCCGGCGACCTGTCGAGATTTCTTCTGCAGCCACGTGGACCCAGGTCTGCACTCTGCGATGTGGGCTGGACACTCCTGCGGGCCGATTCCTTGACGGGAGGCAGGGCGAGTGGTTCCTTTGGGACAGCGCTGGGTCTCGGGGTGGGGGCTGGGGTGGGGGGAGATGAGTGCTGATCAATAAAAGAAGCCCGGTCGGAGGCACCAGTTTCCCACCCTTGCTGATTCATCTCCCCTCCTGAGCCCATTCCCAGGTGTGCCTGAAAGTTCTGCTTCAGAATCCCAACACGAGGATCTTCCGAGTTATTCTAACATTCTGTAATATCCTGGATCAGAAGATCTTCCTTGTCTGCATCTCTCTCACCCTACACTTAACACACTCCAAACACTCGCCCATAAAAACACACTATGCACACTACACCCTCTACACACGCCACAAACACAGAGCATACACATTACACACAGCATGCACATTACATTCATCACGTAAACATACATACACACACTTCGTTTGTGCTACAAGGCTACACACACATACCATATACAACATACATACACATTTTTATTAGCAGAGGGTTAAATCAGTTTGTTGGAGAGAGGAGGAAGTGGGTGAGTACTAGTATATATACTTATACCCACAAATGTCAATTTATTCCAAAGTTAGAAACTAGATAAGTGAAACCTGCTGTTGTTAGAATTTAGAATGCTTTCTTGACTCCTTTTTGTTTTTCTTCCATAAAATGGGATTGATTTCCTACATCACCTTCTGAAACCCTACTCTTATCTAACAAGCAAACTTTTGATCACAGCAGGGGAGAGAGAAGATGTCCTCTAGGCATAGGAAGAAAATCTTGGAGAAACTTCACAGAAACCTTCCTACTCTAGGGATGTCTAAGGAAAAGTTAGGTGTAACTACATTTTCTTTGCCTCTCCTTCCAAGATTCAGAGCTGAACTGATTTTGTTCTGAGCAATGGCATGACAGTGCTGTTGAGACACCTTTCCCAAACCCCCCACTTCCCCCCAGGACTCACAGCCCAGCCCGTTTGAATTTAGTTGGAGTACATTTCAGGAATTTCAGATCAAGTCCCAAAACATTATGAAATCTATTGGTGAAAGGGCTCTCTATCTCCAGAAGAGTTCATCATTTTCATCAGTGGTGATAAGACTCACCTGTTTGACTGGACTCAAAAAATGGTCCTTAAAAATAAATTAACACTTAGAATTTGTCCCCAAATTATTGTTGTTGTTATTATTATTTTTAGAATTTGTCCCTAAATTATTGTTTGCTTTTTCAAAGGAGCAATGATGAAGATGGGCAGAGAGAGCATTTGAAATCTTTATCAGTGATGATCTTTCATGAAGTTGAACATTTCTAATATTCTTGGGATGAATAAGGGAAAGAAATTTTGACTTTGAAATTCAGGTTGCAAATTTAGATTATAGTTTCTGATCTTCTAGGGCCCTTAAAAATTACTAAAGAAAAGGGAGACCTGCCGCTTTCTCCTCAATTCTTCCTGAATTCTACACAGTCATATAGCAAAGGTGATTTTTTTTTTCCCTAGGATCCTTCTTGGGAACCTGTATTCTCTGCCCTATCTTGAATGGTTTAGTTGGCATCTTGACCTAAAAGTGTCCAAATATTGTTTATTTCGATGACAGCTATGCATGCTTCCTGTGTATCTATGGCATATTTGTGGAATGGGAATGTTTCCCTTCAGCCGTGGTTCCCAGCCAAGCAAGGGAACTGTGAGATTGACCAGAGTAACTTAAAAGATCATGCCTAGTACTCTCTATGCCACCTTCCCATTTCCTGAACGGTAGGAGATACTATGAGTTTGGGGGTTGGCATAGTATCTTCTTTTTCATGTGTAACTAATATAGGACCTGGTGCTCATGGATAGTGTTAGTTAAATTTGTTGAATTATGCTTTGTGTGCAACTGGGATAAACAGTTAAGATTAAAACTCCCAGAACTAATTGTTTTTGTAGAATGAGATTTGTTTCATTTTGAATTTTGGCTGACTTCATCTGGTAGGTTGAATGCCAAAATAAAAGAATGTAGGTGTTCTCAAAAGATCTGGTCATCCACTTTTCATCCTCTGAAATATGTTACTTCCTGCATAATGAAGAAAAGGATTTTCTGCTGGGCAGTGCTTTCCTTATTCTTAAAGAGATTACTTAAAAAAAAAAAAAAAAAAAAAAGAAGCCAGCCCTGGGAACTTTGTCCATGAGTCTCCGTTAGGAAGAAAGAGTAACACAGGACTACAGCTTCTGAGTATTCACTGGTTATAGCCAATGGTTCCTTCTCTTATTTTCTCTTGTTTTTTTCTCCCATGGGGGAGAAAAATAGTTTTCAAAACATGACATTCCTCTTCAGAACAAGAGCAAGGATCTATCATGCAGCAACAATGCAGGGGAAGGAGAAAAATAAGAGGCTATTGATACCGCTTGTTTTTCTTTACAAGACAGGTGCAGGGAGAATTCTGCGGTTCTTGGACTCCTGATTCATTCACTTCCACTAATTGTGCTGAAGGTAGTTAGCAAAAGTGAACAGGCACACTGTAGCTTTAAAAAGTCAGCCATGAACCAGAAGGCAGTTGGTGCAGCTTGTGTGTGATTCCTAACGTCATGTTGGCTGAGAGCCAGCCTGGTTTTATTTCACTGTGTCAAATTGTACCTCCTTATTGAATTCCTTTGCCAGCCTACTTTGTGAAAGAAAACATTGGGGTTTCTTTGGCTGTTCTTGATAAGCCTATAAAAAATGACATGTTTTAGTTGCTTCTAGGTAGGTTTTCTTTTTACTCTTCCACAAAAAAGATAATAATAATAATAATAATAAGACAATGTAGTATGGTGTTACAGAGTATCATTGTGAGTGTTTTGTTTTTATCTGAGATGCTTAGAAAATGGTGAATGTGTAACAGTTTCCAACTGAAGTGAAATCATTCTTTTGGCATGGAGCTGCAGCACTATCTTCTGTCTACTCTGTAACGGTGTGTGAATGTATGTTAATATCTATATGTATATTAAATGTTGGATTTCTCTATGAATGATCTAAGTGGTTTAGCAACTGGAAGTTTGTGTGTGTGTGTGTGTGCGTGCGCGTGTGTGTATGTATGTGTGTATATCAGGAGTGAAGATTATCCCACACTTAACAGTATTATTTGTTAATCATCTACTTCTCGAACAGTGATAAAATCTTGTGACTATACTAAATGATGCACTTGTCATGTCAGAGTAATCCCTAGAGAAGGAGTGCCGAAGTATAAAGTAATCTGAGAGGAAATGTATTTAATTTATGGCTTCGGCTATAGAACAAGCACGTTTCAGAACTAGTTTTTTTAAAGCAGTTTTGTTCATAGCTTTTTCATCTTGCTAATTGCATATTAATTGTGGAGGGTTTTAATTTTTTTCACTGTCCTCATCCTACTAAACAAAAAGACAAAGTGATGGATGCTACTATATCTCCTTGGATGTTTTGGTGATTTTTACCTAAATCTAATGAGCTGCCTCCCCTCTCTTACACACACACACACACACGCACACACACACACACACCCACACCAGCACCACCTTTCTGTGCTAAGGGCTATCTGACATTTTTGTGAGCTTCCAGCTTTACCACAGCATGGCCATCTCACAGACTGGTTTTAAGGCTTTCGTTGAGAATATGTGAGGTAGGGGAATACTTGCTGACAAAAGCTTTCAGTGCTCTTTTGCATTGCAATGAAAAAATAGAAGGTTTGTGAGTGGACCCCCCAAAAAATGCAATTAAAAAAAAAAGAAAAAGAAATCATAGCCCGTGGTCTGAAGGGGCAGGAAAAGGGGGATTGTTTTTCTCGACTTTGACTCATTTACGAGTTGCAGCG